GTATGTTTGCTGTATGTATATAATATGTACTAACTTCGTTTATATTTTTGGGTGCTGTCAATTGATTAAATCCTTCAGCCATAATTTCTTTTTTATACACTTTTAAGTAAAATAATTTAAATTTCAGCGTTGCTTGATCAATTCGCTAAAAGTTGGACTGTGTCGAACTTTGAGCGTTTATTCGCTACATTCGCCATTCTGGCAGGAATTTATGGAGAGGGGGTAAAACGCCAGCTTTTATTCGCTGCGTGAAATTGTGCCTTTAGGTTTAGCACTGCTAATATCTAAATTACAAAACTCAGCACGACAGTACGACACTCGACAGACGACTTCTTTGCTAGAGACTAGTCACTAGAGTCTCTAGAAAACGTGCTCTCTCATTGGGTATCGGATGTCATACGTCGGACATCGGACGCATTCAGTCGTCAACGCCGTCAACGGACTCAGATTTTACATTATAAAAAAATAAAAAATAAATTCCAAAGATAGAATCAATCAGGTAAGTAATCAAGAATAAGAAACGATATCATGTACATGTTTTCAAATTTTATTCGTTTGAGAAAAATTAAACTAATTGTTTATTTACAGATAAAATGATACACTGGGGCACTCGGGTAATATTTCCGAACGCAGCCCTAGAAATGAGGAATTACCGTACTCGTCGGGGATTCCCCATGCAAACGTAGTCCTGTGAGTCCTGTGACACATGTGACAATAACCAGAATGAAGTTCTAGCAACGACCTGAAGGGGCGCATACGGCGTTGATGTATTTTACATGTGTAAAAAAACTAAGGACGTAAAATACTTAGTATTTTACCTTAGAACATATATACCTGGAAGGGGAATGCCTTTGTTTCCCAGCTGCCGAAACTGTCCAAAACATGAGATAGAGAATATATCTCCTTCCTTGTTCTCGAGATGGGCAAAGGTAAATCTGCGCATGTACAGTTTGGACTGCGCCGATGACACCGCGCATAAATCTTTTTTCCCCAAAAGGTTTATGCGCGGTGTCATCGGCGCAGTCCGAACTGTACATACATGCGCAGATTTACCTTTGCCCATCTCGAGAACAAGAAAGGAGATATATTCTCTATCTCATGTTTTGGACAGATCTGGCATCACTATTCCCCTTCCAGGTATATATGTTCTAAGTATTTTACATGCTAAAACCGTGTAATCACGGTCTTAAGCCCGCTGCAGACGATGCTATTTTTCCTGCTGGATTGCTTGCGATTTAGTAAATTACTATCGTTGCACCATTCAGCACTCAGGATTTCTAGTAATTTACTAAATCGCAAGCAATCCAGCAGGAAAAATAGCATCGTCTGCAGCGGGCTTTACATACAGGTCTTGCAACTCATATGGTGGGGGTAGGTCGCTTAGTGAAGAAATTTTGTAGTTCTTGTAATGGCCACTAGCGTTGCAGTCTATGTTCTTTTGGTGGCGAGGGACGCTGGAGGCCGGGAGGGATATCTGTCTGTCTTTGTCCCATGCACGGTAAACTCGACATGTCCCCTCGGCCTCCAGCGTCCCTCGCCCCCAAAAGAATAGACTGCAACGCTAGTGGCCATTACAAGAACTACAAAATTTCCTCACTAATTGTAAGCGACCTACCCCCACCATCGAAAATAAGAGGCAGTCGGGAGACCTGTATACAAGACCGTGCGTGTAATTTACATTGAGTATTTTATGTGCCCAACCCTGTGCTGGAGTCTCTGTTTTACCGACATTTTTATATATAATAAGGATATATTCTTTTAATTGGCTTTACAGAATTGCAAATTCTTGTACACGATTAAAGTTCGCACAAAAATAAAAGTCAGCCTACTCGACTTTATATAAAAAACGAAAAAGAACTAAATATTCCATTCATTTTTGGCATGTAGAGCTGTCACATGACGATAATATTTGCTTAATACAAAAGTTCTATAGTTTATATCTACAAAATGAGACCGGAGTGACCTAGGGACAACATGCAAGAACAATATTGTGTAATTGGAACTAAGATTAAAAGTCTAGAAAAAAAGATAGGTTTAAACAAAAGTTTATAAATGCAAATACAGCTGTAGAATGATAAGTAGAAAGTATTGCGTGTAGTAATAGATGCCGGATCGAATAGATGCCAATACAAGAATTTACAATTCTGTATAACCAATTAAAAGATATCCTTATACATATGTATAGTATAAAAAATGTCGGTAAAACAGAGAGACTCCAGCATTCCCTTAAGCCCAATGTCCACGATGCTAGAACTTGGACCAAGTTCTAGCATCGTGGACATTGGCCTTTAAGCCTTGTGTTCACGATTCAAGAACTGTGTCAAAGTTCTAGTTTCGAGAAATGTGTAGCCAATCAACTTGCATCTCTTACGGAAAATTTGCAAGTTGATTGGCTACGCATTTCTTGGAACTAGAACTTGGACACAGTTCTTGGAACGTGGACACAATTAAGGCTTCATTCAGGATTGTGCTGTGAAATTCAAAATGACATGATATCTACAACGTAAATTTGATAAATTACATGTCAGAATGCATAGCACAGACACGCACTAAGTGGAAATTTTATCGGCAGAGTCAGAAAATGCGTAATGAAATAGTTCCAAAGGTAAAAATGGGCGTAAAAGAGCGCGCAAAACAGTCTCCCGAGACGGTATCAAGTAAAG